TGCCGACACCCAGCAGAGGTGCTCATGAGGCACACTGGGCAAAAGGCAGCCTGAGCAACATCTAAAATACTAGTAGCCTAAATGTCAAACAGGAGGAAAAAAATGAGTTTGTACACACATTTTTTATGTGAGGAAACATGCACTGCTTCCCCAGAGAGCTCCAGTTCTTTGGAGAAATGGAGTTGCCTGGCTCCATTCATCCCCATCTGCAATATATAAACTTGTTCCACTTATCCTTCCAAAGAGGGGGCACGCTTTGAATTACTGCAAAAAAATGAACTGCAGTACCAATTCTAACCCGCATCTCAAAACTATTAACAGGAACGTTTGGGAAAAGATACACGGACGCATTTTTAAATTYCCTTGAAGTGAGTCGGATTACGGGTGAGCACTGAAGGAGCACAGCTAAAAACCAGCAATATATTGCTGAGAAATAATTACTTCGAATCAGGGTGCTTCGTGCTTGTAATGGATTTGATCCAATGATAAACGAAAAATAAGATGACTTGTGACAACAGGGGAATGAAAACAATTCTTATTTATGATATGCGGCTCCCCTTACTAACATAATCCCAAGGTATTCTACCCTAGAGAGCCAAAATATTGCAGGCTGAAGTAGAACTGCAGCACTTAGCACCACTTGGCATCTCCTCAGTGAAGCTAATGGGGGAAATTGGCCATATTTGTCAGGAAAAAAATAGCCTTTTTCCCTGTCTTTCAGGCTCTTGAAAAATAACAGAGAGAATTAGGAGGCTGCAGCAGGCCACTGCTAGGGGAAAGGAGGGTAAGGGAAGATGCGGTGAGGGAAAGGAGAAGTGAGGAAGGAACATGTGTGGGTCGCAGAGAGCGAGCGGAGCAGTGCCCGGCTGCTGCCTTCTCACAGAGCTGGGCTTATCGGGGCCCTTCCCAAGTTCCACACCTGGGCTTCCAAAATGAGCATTTCCACACCAATGTTCCCATAAACTCTCTATTTAATAAGCATTCATAACATCCATTTCGCGTTGGCTGGGATGTCACGAGACCTCATTGCTTTTTGGGAACAGCAAGGAGGTCATAAGCAGATTCCCGAGCCCTCCTTTCCCCACACGTCCAAGCAAAAGAAGATGCAAAAGGGCAGGCGAACAATAACACTGGCTCTATTGCCCAATATGTCTATTAAATTAGCACTTACAGTAGCTGCAAATGTTGTTTTCTCCTTGCTTTAAGGAGAGAGGGAAGAAGAGCATGTCACTGGCATTGCAGAGGGCAAGAAGGGGCCTATAGATCATTCCACCTTAATAGCCACTAGAGGCGAAACTATTACAATGCATATTCAAATRGAAAAGAAAAAAACCATGACCCCTATAGTCCTGATTTTTCTGTTGTGTGTCACCTGCAATAGGAAGCTGGTTCCTATTTAGCTGCATTAAATCCTTCTGCACACAAATGTATGGGGTGCAAGACTGCCTTCTATACGTCTGCAGAAATGCTTTTTTTTTTCCTGTCAAAAACATTTCTCCATAAAAAGCACATATGCAAAATAGAACCTCTTGCTACAGTCATTTTCAGAGACACAGTAATTTGGAAAATGTGCACAAATTGCTCTAATAACTATTGATGCTCTTAAGCTTCCTGCTCTGTGGCAATGGAATTTACTTGGTCCAAAAAGCATCAGTTCTGCAGGGCCCCTTTTACTTTCTGTGCTGTTATCTTTTATGACAGGCAGTCATAAAATCAAATGTGTTCCTTCAAAACAACTTTCATCTTTGCTTTTTAAAACCAGTGTTCATATTCCTTACATATATTTTTCCATGATAATGGGAAAATATTTCAGTAAAAACATAAAACAGACCATGCCCTGCCTTGTACTTCATGTACCTAGAAAATGAAGCTGCCAAAAATGCCCTCTAAAGATTTTCACAGCACCCATTTGGACTTTGTCATGAAAATACTTAACTTTTTCACAAAGAAGAAAAACTCCATTGGCTCTGGAGATTAAAAAACAGACTTAAATGTTCTCATAGACAGAGCTTCTGTTTTCTCAAGTGCCATGCTTGGAGTTTTTGGAAGAGGCTCTTCTCAGGCTAATTTAACTAAACAAAGAGGTACTAAAACACCCTGTCACTGTTACTGTTCTCATCCTCTCCAACCAGAAGGGAGCAGCTCCCACTGAGACCCTGTGCAGTGCTTTACCCACTGCTTAAAAATACCCCATAGTGCAAAGGAGTGTATACATGGAACCCTTGTTTGTAACCAAGCCCAAGGTTTTCTTATTACAAACAAAAAAATAAATCTCTCTAAAGGTATATATTTTTGTATAGGCAAAATATACAAATATATTTCCCCCCTCATAAAATTAGCCTTATTAATAGATGCAATATTTCTACTTAGCAGCCTACTTAAACAACAGTCACATTGCACTCCCATTCTGCCTTCTGTGACACTGCTGTGCCCTCACCTCTGGTTTTGTCAGTGACAGTAATAAATTTGCCTTATGAGAGGAATTCATTAGTTTTACATAAATTTCACTCACGGTCAGTGTCTCCCCAGGCCCAGAGTCCATGAACACATCATCCTTTGCAGGCCCAAACCTACTTCTCTCCTTCATGCATCATTTACCATCCCAAGAGGCAGTAGCAGCTCTAGCATCACCTCTGCATTCCAGCCCTCTTCCTTTTCCTGCAGCCAGTGCTGCAGAAACAAATGCATAGGTGATATTTTACTTCTTTTCTCTTATGTCTTTTAATCTATTTGTCTTATTCTCCTTTCTCTTGCTTTTCTACCTGAGGGCAGGAGAGGGGAAGGTCGGCAGGTTTGTGTGGCTCTTAGGCTAATAATCTGATGTGCTTTTGGCACAGACTCCCTTCCCCTCCTAGAAGTCCAGGAGATTAACTTCACCTCTAGCTGGAGATGGGTTTTGTTTAGATGTAGTTGCTCCTGTTTATTATTTAAAACACATTCACCATCTAATACGTTCAGATGGATCTCTTTTCAAGACTGGGCTCCTGCTGTAATTTGGTTTGTGGCATCATGAAGCTCTTCGAAAATGGGATCTCTCGAGGAGGGGGAAAAAAAGCTTGCATTGCAGAGAACTCTACACTTGTATCAAAAAATATAGTGACCACAAGAGTTTTTCTGAGCCCTATAAACTGTGCCCCAGAGAAAGGGTGTTAACATGAGAACTCAGCGATGTAACCTACTACTCATATTTTGACTCAAGCTTTTTACTAATTTGGTATTTTTCTTAACAGCGTAACTTTCCTCCTACACTGAAGCTTACAGAATGCATTAATCTTAGGTATTTCCAGAGAGTCTTTCTTTTGTTATCATTACACTTCTGGGGGAATTAATATAATGGGGTTTTTTTCTCCATGTTTCATCTTACCTGGCATGATTGCACCAATTGCACTTGACATACTAATATCAGGCTATATATTCATCCTGTTTTGAATTTCTAGCAGTTAAGTTACTTTACAAGTTTGCAGCACTTTCAACCATTTTCTTTTCATATAAGAGCAGTGCTTAATTCAGCAGTTCTGTGTTGTAACTGGGTCAACCAAGACGGACAATAACTTGTTGTCAGGGTGTTATTTTTGAGGCACATAATTCACAACAGGTTTCCTAAAGGTCTTGAATTGCTGCTGCCGCAATAAGAAAGCTAAGCCTACTTTTCTTCATTGTTTACATGAAATGCTAATCTGTCTTCTCACAAAAAACAAAAGCCTGAAAACAATAATTTCCAATCTTATTCTTCCCTCACCTGTTTCAACACAGAACTGCTGAGTTCAATGGAAATACTTTTCTATTTCCTCTAGGGTCACTCAGAAGAATCAGACCCTTCATTTTAGAGTTGCCTTTGGCTGTGCTGTACAGAAGGCACAATTCAGTCTCTGAATGCTGATGTCAATAAAAGCTTAAAGAATTAATAGGTGAGTGATAGCTGCTCTCCTGCTTGTCCTTATTCAGCCCAGTGGACTCCCACAGGTGGAAAAAAAAATAGAAGACGTGTTAAGTAACCAGCTTTTCTCTTTCTAGTCATTTTGCTGCAGTGAACCTGCTGGAATAACCTGTTCTTACTAACAAATAAACAGACCCAAAGTTTAATACATATTTTTCATTCTACAGCCTTCCCTCGCTAAACCCACCTTCCTTTTTGCTCAAGCTGMTAGCACCACAGCACCATTAAAAGCTTGGGCTTTTGATCTCTGTGCAAATAAATGAGCTGAAACAAATAAAACCCAGTTCACAAGAGACTTCCAAGACATCTGGTGGAGTTATTTTTCTAAGTAATTAGACCAAGTGGTGGTGCAATTCCCAAACGAAAGTTACCTTCTTCCTTGATAGCCAGTTATTTTTCACAGCCCTCAAGACAGCACTAAGTCTTATTTCTCTCCTTCCGTGTCACAAACTCTATTGATTACCAGTCTTCCCCAAATGGAACAATCTTTGACACAGACTTGTTTACAGCTCAAGTTTTCACTCTTTTTTTTTTTTTTTTTTTTTTGGTACTATGAGGCTCCTATTTGAATGTCCTGAATGTCAGTGAGGTTTCTGATATTGCCTGAGGAAGGATGGGGTTCTTGGCTTTTTTTCCTTCAATTCCCAGCTAACCTAAGGTAGCAGTTCTTCTTATGCATACCGTGGAGCAGGAGAAGGAGTATAATGGAGTATGGGCACTGGCTTGCTGCAGATCAATGCCCTGTTCTAGGCTGTGTCCCCAGGAGCTTTCTTGCTGGAAGCTGATTAAATTTCTCCTCCTTTTCCTAAGCTCTCCAGGAGACCACATTCCAAGAAAAACCCAAACGCTCATCAACACTTTGGTGAAAACGTGTTCTTTCCTTGGTGACTACAACACAGGTGACCCAGGAGAATTGAACAAGGAGGTGACTTGGCCAAGTGCCTCTCTTCTTTTGTGCCTGGCTTTACGTTTTGGAAACATGGCTTTGCCTCAGACTGAGCAGGATACATCTACATCTTAACTTGCTCCCTCTCCTTCCTCTCAAGATAAAATACAAACTCACCGGAGGTTTCGTCTACTCTCTCATCCACCACGTGGTCCTTCTGGTGGACCCATTCGCTGTTGCACTTGAAGTAGATCTGCGTGGCAGGGCTCGCTTTGCAGTACAGGTTCACGGGCTTGTTCTTCACAATGTAGGCTTCTTCTGGCTCAATGAGGAAGTGGGGCAAGGGCTCGGGAGGATCAGACGGAAAAGTTTCCGGAAGCTCATGGAAAAAATCATCATCTGTAAAAACAAGACAGAGAGGACAAATGAAACAACCACAATTCAGCCTGGTTTTCTCCGCCTCCGAAGCGGTTATTGTTACCCACAGTGACGGACGGCGCTGAGGATGGATAAAACAGCCCCGAACACCAGGTTGAAAGCACCGCGCGAGGCCGGTCGCCTGGTTCTCACCAGGCTCGGTGAAGAGGCAGCTGGAAGCGGCTCCCTTCTTGGCTCTCGCTACACCCGGGTCGGCTGCTGCAGGGAGAGAAGAACGGGCCACACAGGCCCTGATATTTGCCGTGCAGAGGGAAAAATGGGGACATACAGCAATGTTTCAACTGCCTTCTCCAGCTGATCGGRGCCACCTCAATGCTCTAAACCACTTTTCCTCCTTCCTTCTTTCCTGTGGTTTCCTCTTCATTCTCGCCACAGAAAAGGAGGAGAGAAAAGCCTTGCAAACTCAATGTGATCATGGAGAGCATCTAGGTGGACTAGATCCTCATTCTTTACATTCTGACCACACCAGCCTCCTTTTGTGGGAAGTCCCATTTCCATTCGGTATTTCCTGCTCCATTCTCCTCCCCAGTTTCACAAAAGAGGAAGATGAGTCCGCACCGAAGTGTGGATCTATGACAACAGGACAYACTTGAATTAAAGCAAGAGGCCTTTCACTCACACCCTTTCTCCACAAGGACATCTTCCCTCTGCTCCCCTTTCTCCTGGGCTGCTCGCACAGGGGCTGCTGCTGCTGCACACACATCCTCAGCCCAGAAACATTAGGAATGAATCATTTCCCCTGCATTGCCACAGGACGTAGCTTTTTCTTCTGGTCATTTGATTGCAAATCAGCAAGCTGGCAGATGGAAACTAACAAAGCACACATATGTTTTATAATTAAAGCAGCATTGCTTCACTAATTCCTGGTGACTGGAAGAACAAATGTATTTATTTTCACCGATAGATCTCGGCGTGTTATCAAAGGCGACGCCAACACCGCCGGACCAATTAACTGTATCTCATCAAAGACATAACTAAAAAGTCCAAAAGGAGGGATCAGCGAGCTGCAGAAAAGACAAAAAAAAAAGGTGTTTTTTCCCTCATTATTTCCTCAGTGCTGGTTAATCAACCCCAAGAGCATGTGTGGGCTTTGGGTTTCCCTCCCAAAGGTCTGCAATGTTTAAATACTGTTTTTATGTTTAAGTGGATTCACAGCATGGCCCGGTACACTGCAGTATAATCTCACTTTTCAGCTAGGCTATAGCTGCTTCTCCACAAGGTAGGTATTGAGTGGCCTGCTGTAAACCAGCTTCCTTATCGGCTACAGTAAGAAACGTATTCTACACATATATATCTAGATATATGCACATAAAATTTAGCAGCATGCACCACTGAGGTGGGAGCAGCTCAGACTTAGCTTTTCTAGAGGTTACTCCTGCATCTATAATAAATGATTTCCTTACCACCCTGCTCAGACACAAACCCCAACGTGAAGCCCGCACGCTGCTTCCCTGTTGAAGCAAATCCCCTTTTTTTTTCCCCCAAAACTTTGAACTGCAAGTTTACTTCTACAATATGCCCCATTCATCTTTATTTTCACATAATAAAGTGTACAGCCCATCTGTTGTTATTGACTGATCTGTATTAGCAAGACAAAAGGCTTGATTAATGATACTGCTAAACCAGTTTCACTCATGCAATTCATTCATATTAGGAAAATAGATTTACAAAAGCCATTTTAATCTAAAAAATTTAATTTGGATCTTCTATTTTAGGTGCTGGCTTGAATTTAGACACGCTCTCGTACTTGTCTTCTGTAGCATCCCACTTCTGCATTCTTTTCTAAATGTAAGTCAAACACAAACCCTACGGAAACAGCAACAGAGTCACTGAAACTAGCACTGGTAAAACACAGTATGGGTATAACGTGTAATAATTACAGCTTAATTTTCACTTAAAGCAAAAGAAATATTTCCCCAAGTCAAAACTCTTCTGATTTCAAGAAAGGCCCTTATTATTTTCATGCTTCTGTTTGTAAAGCAGTGTGGATCATAGCTCTCCATGCACAACAAGTGCAAAGGGAGATTTTATGGTATACTTCACTTTTTATGAACAAGTATCCGAGCTCTAATCTGTGGCAGGAAAACATTGTGCTCCATACACCAATCTATGCATCTCTAGATCAGTAGTTTTATTACCAGATATCAAGTTTTAACTCTCATCAGCCCAGCTTATCACTCACTATATTTCCAAACTGCAAGACTTAAACTATTATTGCTTATATCGTAATAAATTGGATCATCAGCTCTTTGCGTGGGACCTGAAGCAAATTCTTCTCAAAGGGATTGACAGACCCAAAGAGAGAAAACTCTCTTTTTCATTACCCTAAATGAGATGCACCAGCTTTACTGAGCAACTTGCAAGTTATATATTATTGCCCGGGAAAAAAAAAAAATGCATCTTCGACCAGTTCATTTAGTTCATTATTATAATTAAAAGTTTCTGCTTCTCCTGAGCCCACTGGTAATTTCATCAGCAGTCAGATCAGGGGCAAACCAAAACCAAAGAGAAAATATGTATCTTCAAAATGACTCCTGCCAGCCCCTGAAATGGAGATATTTCCTTATCATATTGCTAATCCAAGGCAGTAATTGCTGGTGTAGACATGATATTTCAAATTCTGTACCCAGAAACTTCCCATGGCCTGAAGGGAAACTCCATCCGACTGCAGGTTCCATATGCAAGAAATGTAAATATAAATGAAATGTAAAGTGAAGAGAGTGTCCTGAGCACCATCAGTCACCTTCTCTTTTGCCATCTCAGAGCAGCAGAGTGGGCAGAGCATCCAGCCAAGACCACACTGCCCATTGTGCCCCCTTGCAGAGAAGAGATCCATCACCTCCCACCACTACCAAGGCGGATAGCTGGAACTGAGGAGAAGGCAGGAGGCTCCTCTGAAATCTCAGCCTGCATCATATTCAGCTTAGCAAGAGCTTTGCGTTGCTCAGCAGTTTATTAATTTTGCTGGAATTTTTGCTGTTGTACCTGTGTACATAGGCGTTGCCTCACTAAGCAGCGGCACAAGCGAGAGCTCCGGGCACTGCCGCTAACTAGAAAGCTGCCACGACTCAGATGAGGGGCAGCCTCAGCAGCAGAGCTCGTGCCGCCGGCCTGCAAATTAAGGCCACGTTTCCTCTCAAAGGCGGAGAGGAGCAAACGCGCGCGAGCCCGAGCGCAACCTGCCAAGGACAAGGGAGGCKCCAGGAGCCTCTTCTCCCTTCGGACGCCCACTCGCGACGGGATCCCCTCCCAGCCACCTGCAGAGCCTGACGCTGAGCATTCCTGCCCCAGCTGCCATTAGGAGCCGTAATGGTTGACACGGGGTCAAAAAATTATGAAACCCCTGAGGAGCATCGTTTCCTCTTCAGTGTTAGGCTTCACTTTTCTTTGACACATTAGTCCTGAGGCAGCCGCAGGCTCTTGACCCCTCCTTTAACCCTGATAACTAATTAAAGGCGGACAAGGCTTAGGCTAAAATACTTTTCGTTAAACCTATTCATTCCCGAGCTCCCTTCAGGCGCTCTGTGTCACACAGGACAGCAACTGCCCTATTTACAGGAGCGTGGACGTAGTGCCTGCTACAGTAGTATGCAAACCCTCCTCTTACCAGAGCCAACCCAACCTTTGTGGTCAGAAGATGGGATGTGTTTTATAACACGAGGAACATATTCTTGGGCTTCCCGGGCAACATCCAAAGCACACAGCCGAAGGAAAATCTGGGAATAATTAACTCTGGGTGTATTTTTAGGATCTGGAGTTCAGACTCAGGCTCTTTGCATGCCAAAAGACCAGTGTGATACTGAGCACAAGGAGCAAACGAGGAATGATCCCACCCCTTCTCACCAGGGAATTTTCTACGGCTTTTTGCTAGAAGCAGCAACAGAGCCTGAACTAGAGAGCGCTTGGCTGCAAGCACTGGCATTGTAGGGCCGATGGTAAATCCTACCCTACAGCACAGCCTTGTATAATGCCTAAATAATAATGCCTGTGTATAATGCCAGTGTACAGGGCGATGGCTCCTGCAAAAGGAAAAGGAATCCCATGTTGATGGCCTGAGAGAGGAAATGCAAATGAATGTGGGACTTTGCAGCTGCTCTCAGCTTTCTGACTTCTGTTGTTTCATATTAATAATTTAGCCTGCTTTCTAGAGGGCCATGGTTCTGGGGTTAAAATGTCAGTCCTTCGGTTCCATGAGGATTTTATCCATTCTCTTCCCATTAATAAGCCCAGTGCAAAGCTCTGCTCCCATATTTGTGATACTTCCAACGCGAGCATTTTTCTCAGCACAGGGTTTGATCCAGCTCTTCATGACTGCTACAACCTGGGTCTAGCTGGGTGTTACAGAGCTTCATTTCATGACCTATCAGTGGCGTAGAGTTGACGTAGTTCACGGGATTGCTCCATCCCAGAGAAACTCGGGACACTTGCCTATACCTAGGGTCATAGCTCAGCTGCCTGGTGCTAGTTACCTAATTTCACCCACGGCCAATTTTTCAAGCACTATAAATTATTTCGTATGGGGCTGATTTATCCCAGCAGAAGCCCAAATTGAATTAGAAACCCATTAGCTAAATTCTAAGCAGGAGCTTCTGGGGAGAGGAGAGGAGCAAAAGGAGGGGCCTTGGGAATCGAGTGCCAGATGCAGGAAAGCAAAAAAAAAAAAAAAAAAGAGTCTTTAAAAGAGGAGGAAAAGAAAAAGATAAATATCTTCTTATTGAACTAAGCACCCAGGTATTTAGGTAGCCAGATGGAGGAATACAGATTATAGCCTCGGATGAGAAATATGACTCAGACATTTATTTATTTATTTTGACTAGCAATTGATTTTATAAGTACATAAGACTCCATAAGCAGATAAAAAGCACAGGCTTGTTGGAATAACATGGCTGCATTCACACAAATAGCAACAGATTGAGCGTGCTGTATCTGCTAATAGAGCTAATAATAAGGTGTTCAGCCAAATCCTAGTACAAAATAATCATGTTTATTCCTCCCTCTGGGGGGAAAGGAAAGCAAAAAAAAGGGCGTATTGACTTTTGAAACACAAGGGCTGATTTAATCGGCCTCCTCCCTCCCTGCAGAGGTGCAAACACACCAGGTACCACGCAGGACCACCCCACTCAGACACCATTAAACTGGCCCTTCATCGTCCCTGGGATCGCGCCATCGTCACTGGGACGCGCCTTAGTCTGCACCTGCCACTGCCTCCCATGCGTCCAGAAGAGGTATCCATTAACAACTGCCCAACTTATCCCAAGGARCTGCATTTGCACCTCGATCCAGGCCAAAAATGCACATTTGGGGTTCAACTCCTTGTCCGGGTAACTTGGCTGCCCATGCCAGGGCCCTGGCCCTGACCCAGAGAGACCACATCCCTTTCTYTGTGGTTTTTAAACATGGTCTTGCATGAAGAAGACACATAGATGTTAACGAATGACCACRAAATGAAGAAAAACTAATGTTACGGCACAGTAATGGGAACACAACTAACTTGCAGGCTTTGCTGGGCACAGGTTGTATCGCTGCACCGTATTTATTTACTCAGCRCTCACCAGTAGGCGAGATTCAAGCTGGGGAGCAATGAATCAGTGCTCTAATCTTCCTCCCCATCATCCCTTGGAAATTGATATCCAGCCCTAGGTGACTTGAGTCCCAGTCATAAATGCCATCGCTAGAGGAACACAGACCTAAGCTGCCTGGCTGATAGGAGCTCAGAACTTATATATTTTAAGCTGTCTACGCTCCCCCTTCTTTTTTCCCCATCCTCATTCATTTTATTATTTTTTCCCTGTTTCTTCCAAATCTCCACCTGATATGTTCCCCTCCTTTTGCCTCCGGTTCAGCCAAACAGCCTGGTCAGGAACCTCCCTATGTAGCTGCAAAAGGGTAAAGATTCAGGGCCAAGATGCCGAGATGGAGAATGGCTATGTACAGGGAATCTTATTCCAAATCCAACCAGCACCCTGGCACCTTCCTGTTTAAATAATGGATCCTAAAGACTATGGTCACCAATTAGGTGATGGGGACCTGTGCGGATGGCGGCTAAATCAGAGGATTTCTCCAAGTGCATGGGAATCCTACCCGTCGTGGGACAGCATGTCCACCCTGCTGTCGGTGCCATCTTGAGGCCATCTTAATTTCTCAGTCCTTTTTTATATWGCAGAGATCTTTCCAGACTGGAAAGAAATGGTTGAATCAGCAGTCAAATGCAGATTTTTGTTCTTCGTTCTGCTACATGATCCAAGTGACATGATCCGGTCACTTGGGGAAACATTTCTAGGGGAAAGATTGTCCCTTTGGTTGAGATTTCCATAGAAGCCTAGATTATTTACAACCAAACATTCCTTTAGAAGTAGTTTGTGAAGCCCCACTGGAGCATTTTAAAGGCTCACGAGCCTTGAAGCAATCAAACTCATAGTTGAAAATTATGAGCAATTTTGACGCTGAGATTCACACAACAGAAAAGTGCTGTTCCCTATAAAGCCAGTAAGAGCACAGCTTCATAACCCACAAGCATAACTCAGTTTTTGCAATAGAAACTTTTACATTTAGCCACCTGAGCTAGAAATAAACTAAAATAAACAAAGACCCAACGCAGACAGGAAATATTCCTACACCGCTACCAACCCCATCTTTCACATATGCCCTTTGCCAGTTGGTTATTGCCACTTGCACCCGAGCGTGCAAGTGCTTCCTTCTGAAAAACAAAAACAGCATCAAAAAGGGCATTCTTGAGCTTGTATTTATTGGCCTTGCCGCTGCCTCCACTAATGCAATGCAAAAACTATCACCTCCAATGACAGTGGCATCGATCCCTTTACTTGGCACCATTTTCTGCTGATATTATTTACTTCTAGCTTACTGTCTCATCAGCTACATGCACCCACTTCTCTTATTCCTCTCTTTCRGTCGGTCTTTTTAATCTTATTTCTGCAACGACCCAGTTTCCAATGGCCTAGATTACTTATCAGTCGTACATATCAGCTTATGTATCAGCTATACTCTCAGCTATTCTCTCAGCAAATGCCCACTTAGGCAAACGCTCATGCACACTAACAACGTTACTGAGAGGGTGGAGGAGGCAAAGCACGAGAACTCAGGAGACCTTATGGATCTTGATAGACTGTGGGCAGGGCAAATAAAACACTTGTCATCTCCTGTTCGTGCTGTCCTTTCTAGGAACAGAAAGGTGCAGGATCTTGTTTCCCTCAGAAGGACAAACTATCATGGGACCTTCAGAAGACATGGGCCAAGAGATATTAGGCCCTCTAAGTCACTTAATTTATCTTTTCCTGTGCCTCTAAACTCAAAGGACTGTAAATGTACATCTGAAGCAGCTATCAGATGAGCAACAGCTCACGAGCCAAATCCATCTGCCTGAACTTGATCCTTGTTTGKGGAAAAGGCATCACTGTAATTATTTATTACATATAATCCTCCCCGCATTCAGTTTTCCGACCACGATTCTCCCTAGATGGAGTCACCCAATTGAGGGRAAAAAAAAAAAAGAGCAGAGAAAGAATATGAAAGCTGCAGGAAATTAGCATGCAATAAGCCATTTCTTCCTGTCAATTTTCCCCTCTCCCTTTATTACGGATTTGTTTTTGAAGCAATTACACACGTGCAGCCCATTTGCGGCACCTCCGCGCGTGCCTCCTGACGCCGCCATTACTGGCGCAGCCGCCATTACCGGCGCGGCCGCCATTACCGGGGCGGCCGCAGCTGAGGCGGCGAGGAAGGCAGCTCGGACGCGGGCTGGTGCCATGTCTTGGCGCCGCCCGGGCCGGTTTAGCACATCCGCTTGCTGTTTTCCCTCCCAGGGGCCGTGCGGAGAGCAGCTCCCGCCTCATGTTGACATCAGYGCGAGCCGGGGTGTGCCGCGAGCGGCCCAGGCCGAGTCCCGGCTGCCCGCCATGGCGTCTTCCCCAGGCACCTRAGTTGAGGCTCATGCCCTGAAACCTTCTCATGGGCAACCAGGGACTCAGCGAAAGAGCA